AAAAACAGGCAGAGGTGTGTTAAATTAGGATTTTTTTATGTGGGGCGGAGAGAATTTAAAGGGGAGAATATAAATACAAAATATTAAGAGTTGAACAGTCTTTTTACTAGGAAAATTAAACGAATTGAGTTATATCCAACAGCATTAAGACACAGTTCAAAAGCAGAAAATGACCTTATTGAAAATTGATTATCTGCCAGTAGGAGGCACTTTTGGAACGGTTTCCCTCGTAACAGCTGTACACAAAAGCTGCGCGGCTCTCATAAACACTACTTTATCAGGCAGTATTCAGGCATTATAATTTAGATGAGATGAAAATGACATTGAACGTTTGAGAAACGCCCCCTTTTTGGTCCACAGAGACCTATACTTGGATTTGTCATTGTGTTTTCTGAATACAAACCCCCTTAAACCAGAATGTGTGTGTGTGTGTGTGTGTGTGTGTGTGTGCGTGTGTGTACATGTTTTTATACTGTCGGGGACTTAAACCTGAATACACATTAACTCGTGTGTGTGTGAGAGAGAGAGAGAGAGAGAGAGTGTACCTGTTTTTCTATTCTGGTGGGGACTTAAACCTGAATACACAGACTCAGGTGGACTCGTGTCACTGTGGGGACCTAAATTGAGGTCCCCATGGGTACAGAAGCTTATAAATCATACAGAATAAGTTTTTTTTTTTTTTTGAGATTGTAAAGTTTTTTTGTGAGGGGTAGGTTTATGTGCGATTTTCTACTATACTCCATTCATTATTTCCATTCCCGCCTTCATCCGCGTCAAACACTTCATCCTCCATTTCCGGATCACTTCCGGAATCTACGCCACTTCCTACCATGCACTCTCCAGTCACGGATCAGCTGTTGCCAAACCGCCCTAACCTCCCTTTGCAGTGTGCGATGTCCGTCAACGATCACCAGTCACTTCTTCTTCTTCTTCTTCTTCTTTTGGTTTTGAGGGGTAGGTTTATGTGCAGGGTTGGTGTAGGGCGATAGAAAATACAGTTTGTACAGTATAAAAACCATTATTACCATATATACATTTTGTAATAGATGTTGGGCAAATAAGTGAACTCAGTAAAACTACGCTGACATGACAAGATATTTTTTAATGTCAGATTGTAGGAAGATGTTTCATGTCATGTCGTGTTTATTTATTGATTGATTGATTTATTTGGCTAAAAGAAATGTTTGTTATTTTTGTATGTTACTGTTTAATGTGTTTTATGTTTCATACTTATTTTACTGTTTAAATTGAGCTGGAAAGCCTATAATAGTTTTTTGTTTTCGTTTTTCCGTTTTTGTTAAGAACAAGAACTAAACTGATTCTTAATAACAATTCAGTGTGACAACTAGCCACGGTCTCCCTTATTTAAAAAAAAAATCATTCGTTTTTCTTTTATTCTTTGACACTATAAATATAACTTTCTGTTGTTGCTGTTGTTGTTTAGTCACAAAATGGGTACTCAATACATACAATAAAACTGAAAAACTATATGAGTGTGCAAGCATAGCCAAAGTGGGTATTTGTATAAAAATGTATGGATGAAATGAAGAAAAATAGTTTTCAGTAGGGCAATTAATTAAATAAAGGTTGACAAAATGTATCTAATTTTAGAAATTACATTTTAGACGACAGAAAGGGGACTTCTGTTTTGTTCCCTTAAGCACAAACCCGGAAGAAGGAAATAATGTCCGTCGTCGTCCACTAGCGCAAGTCAGTTTGAGGTCGAGTGGAAGGTAAGCAAACAAGTTTTATTTCAAACTAACACATAGTTTACAAGTAAGTAATAGTTTTGTTTTCAGTAGTTGTTAATACTTTGCCAAAGTCGCTTGAGCTCTTATTAGAAATTAAGCAGGATTTCAGTCGTTTCACACTTTGATACGAGAGCAGATGAGTCTGAACAGACAGTTAGCGGCTGCTGCTAGCAGACTGACAGTCTTACTACACTACTGAGAGTAGTTCTTGATTTTTTCTTTTCATACATCTTTTTAGGCCTGTAATTATTAGAATTATAGTGACTTATTAGCCTTGTTTTTGCTTTTTAAAATTGCGTAAATGCTAAATAAACAAACCCACTGAAAACGTGGGTTTGCACTGACAAACTTTAGTGCGTGTTTACAGTGTTTGTTTGCTTTTTCCTTTTGCTTTTTTTTTTTTGGGCTGGCGTGTTTCTCCATGATGGACTTTAGTAGTATTAAGTGTTGTTCAACAGATGACATGTTTATGTCATTATGACTTGCGTTCTGATTTTCGTTGTCAACTTTGTTTCATTTCGATTTATTAATCACACGATTTATTCCGAGTAAAATTCCCCTTGCTGTCTGCAAATTCTTCTTTCCAGACCTTAGTCTCAGTGACATCAGCTGCGGAAATTGAGTCAGAAGACAAATATAGCGTTTGTTTGAGTTTCCAAGCTGAGTAAAGTAAATATACGTATTTAACGCTTGTTTTGGCCACGGCGCAACAAAGGGCCAATCAGACTTTACAGGCGTGGAATTTCTGGGAAGTGGAAGATTGAGTGTTAAAGGACCATGGCTTGCAGTGTAAATGTTGTAGCTAAAGTTAAATGCTGCCTTTCACTGAATACCTGCACAAGTAGCCCCTGTGAAGCTGGTAATGGAATGATCATATCTGGGTGTCCGTGTCATCTGAAAAATTAAAAACCCCTGTCATAGATTAAATACAAGGAGGCATTGTATCTAACCATGTCAAATTAAAACCTCTGATTTCTCAAGTGTCAAGACAACCTGAACTCTACGTTGTATCTTCTTGTAATTATAAACATGTCAAATACTGCCCATTCTGATGCAACATGGTTTTTCTGTCCAGTTGACCATGGCGATGACAAGTCAGATGTCCTGCTCCTCAATGAGCAACCACACTAAGGAAAGAGTCACCATGGCCAAAGTAACGCTGGAGAATTTTTATAGCAACCTAATATCACAGCATGAGGAAAGGGAAATGAGGTGAGAACCAAAAAAGCAAGAGACATTTTTGTTTTTTTTTAATGTTATTTTTAGGCATACACTTCATTTTTCCATTGAAAATTAGTTGTAGCCCACGTACTGGTTGAAATAAGTGAGAAATATTTAGGACTTCTGCAATACTTTTTCTCTTATGTAGTTTTGAAACTTTTGCTAGTGAACAGGTTCGGCAGGTCTAAATGAATCACTAAGCATTTGGACAAATGCATGTAATTCTTCACATACTGTAGGTTTGGGTGAATATGGTGAGACGAGATCCTTCTTTAAGAACCTCCCAAATTCCAGGTGCCCTTTATTATGGTCTCTTCCGTCCCTCTTGAAATGATGTCAGACTAGACGACCACACCTTTCATTTGACTGATGAAGCAATTCTGCCTCTTGGTGCTAGTGTTTCATCACATGTCTAAAAGTTATCCATTATCTGTTACAGACAGCAGAAGCTGGAGAAGGTCATGAATCAAGAGGGCCTAGGTGATGAAGAGGTGAGCTTTTCTGGAATACTGCTATTTTTTTCTGAAAGCCATGCCCTGCTTACATTACAAACGTCTTGATCTAAATACTGGTGGTTTTATAAATATTTAAACACACAAAAGTTCAGAATGTTATTTCATGTGATCGGTCGGTTTAATTTCTACTTTTTCTGGTCCTGCAGAAGCGTATCCGGCGGTCTGAGCATGCTAGGAAAGAGACTGAGTTTCTTCGTCTCAAACGAACACGTCTTGGATTAGAGGACTTTGAGTCACTCAAAGTGATTGGCCGAGGAGCTTTCGGAGAGGTATGAGCTTCTTTCTGTTAAAGACTCCATGAATTCAAAAGTTTTGTCACTTTTAGCACATATATGTTAGTTGCGAGGCAGGCTATATATATACTCTACCATTTTTTTTAATAAAAAAAAAAGCTTTTATTCACCAAGGATGCATTAAAATGATCAAAAATGACAGTTAAGATATTTATAATGTTACAAAAGTTTGTTTGAACGGTCTATTCATCAAAGAATCCTGAAAAAATATATCATTGCTTCCTAGACTTATTTTTAAAGAATCATGTGACTCTGAAGACTGGAGTAATGGCTGCTGATAATTCAGCTTTAACATAACAGGAAGAAATTACAATTTAAAACATTAAAATGAAAAACGTTGTTTTAAATTGTTGCAATATTTTACAATAATAGCGTTTTTACAGATATTTTTGATCAAATAGCTGCAGCATTGGTGACCATAAAATACTTTTTTCATAAAAAAAAGAAATAAAAAAAAGGACGATAGTCTATTTTGTGGTATTTTAGCACATTTAAAATCCTCTTTATTTCTCTAGGTGCGGCTAGTTCAGAAGAAGGACACAGGACACGTTTATGCAATGAAAATCTTGCGTAAGGCTGATATGCTTGAGAAAGAACAGGTGAGTCTTCGCTGATGGAATCACGTATGTCCACACATGACATTTACCCCCGGTTTCACAGACAAGGTTTAAGCCTAGTCCCAGATTAAATGTAAATCTTGAGCTGTTTCAACTGAAAAAAAACTTGCACTGATTGATCTTAAAATATATCAGTGCCTTTGTTTTCTCTCAAGATGCACACCAGTAATTTTTTTTTCTAAGGCATGTTAATAAAAATTACTTAAATGACTTAATTGAACTATGGCCTAATCCTAGTTTAGTCTAATCCCTGTCTGTGAAACCAGGCTTTAAGGTTCTTTGCCTTGTTAACAGGTCTCTGTTTTCTGTTCAAGGTTGGCCATATTCGAGCAGAAAGGGACATTCTTGTAGAGGCAGACAGTTTGTGGGTGGTGAAGATGTTCTACAGCTTTCAGGATAAGATGAACCTCTACCTCCTCATGGAGTTTCTGCCTGGAGGTGAGTGCAGGATATGTCAGATCATTTCAAAGAAACTTTACCATCAAAAAGATGGTGCTAAAACCACTCCAAAGGATGACTGACATATGTATGTGTGTGTGTTTGCCCAGGTGATATGATGACTCTACTGATGAAGAAAGACACTTTAACGGAGGAGGCCACACAGTTTTATATTGCTGAGACTGTGCTGGCTATTGACTCCATTCACCAGCTGGGCTTCATCCACAGAGACATCAAACCAGACAATCTCCTGCTGGACTCAAGAGTAAAAACATATATTAAAACAGTACTCCAATAGAATCGTCAAAATCTTTAAAAACATGTCAATTATTTTTAGCAAAATAAAGTGTTTTTGAAGTAGGGCATTATTCAGAACAATTTAGGCGTTTGTCTCAATATTAAATTGTGAATGCCAATAACAATACCAGTTAAATTTCACTTGGTACTACTGATGCTGCATAAAGACTGATATTATTAAATTATATTTTTTAGTATTGACTTGTGACCTCCCTATAGGCAACTCTGACATGAACGTGAAACCTTAAAGCTCAATCTATTAGCCTAGCAGGTCACATAGCCTTGACCTAATGAGTGATTCTCATTCACAATGTCATTTTGCTCTTTCAGGGCCATGTGAAGTTGTCTGATTTCGGCCTATGCACTGGTCTGAAGAAAGCCCACCGCACAGAGTTCTACAGAAACTTTAATCACAGCCTTCCTAGTGACTTCAGTAAGACTTATCAGCATCCATAACTCCAGTCTTCAAAGTCACATGATTATTCAGAAATCATTCTAATGTCACGATTTTCTGCTTGAAACGTTTCTTATTATTTTCAGTATTGAAAACGGTTGTGCTGCCTAATTTTTATGGAATATATAAAAATTATTCTTCGATGAATAGAAAGTTCAAAACAATTACATTCATTTGAAATAGAAAAAATTTGTAACATTATAAATTTCTTCTCTCTTTTTTTTTTTATTTAATGCATCCTCGCTGAATGAAAGTCTTAATTTCTTTAGAAAAAAATCTTACTGGCCCAGAACATTTGAATGGTATTGTAGATGAAATAATGAAGGGGTTGCATAGCTGATTCTGTGGCAGTAACTTATTTATACCAATTTATTTTTTTCTTCAGCATTCCAGAACATGAACTCAAAGAGGAAAGCAGAAACATGGAAGCGAAACAGGAGACAGTTGGTAAGAGTGTCCTCTTGACCCAATACTACACATAGTGGGTGGGTACAGATAGATTCAGTGTTTCAGAAAGTTATTGTGAAGTGAATATGTTGTTAATATGGTAGTTGATGATTGTAGAAGCACTGTAGAAGAGTTACTATGTGCTCTTGTGTAATCCATTACATCTCACAATGGTTTTTGTGTTGTATCAGTAAGTAAATCAATACTGAGGTGCCCTGAGCAAGGCACCGAACCCCAACTGCTCCCCGGGCGCCGCAGCATAAATGGTTGCCCACTGCTCCGGGTGTGTGTTCACAGTGTGTGTGTGTTCACTGCTGTGTGTGTGCACTTTGGATGGGTAAATGCTGAGCACTAATTCCGAGTATGGCCACATACCATACTTGGCCACATGTCACGTCACTTTCACTTTTTTCACTAAAAGAGAAGAAAAAAATGTTGTTGTTTTTTTCAGGCCTTCTCCACTGTTGGAACCCCTGACTACATCGCTCCAGAAGTGTTCATGCAAAATGGGTATAACAAGCTCTGTGATTGGTGGAGTTTGGGTGTCATTATGTATGAAATTCTGATAGGTGAATTGATTTTTGGTCTGTAAATAAAATGAGTTTGTTTATTTTGATATATGGCTTAAGTGTTTGTGTGGGTGTTTTTCAGGTTACCCTCCATTTTGCTCTGAGACGCCTCAGGAAACTTACAGGAAAGTGATGAACTGGCGGGAAACTTTGACCTTTCCACCTGAGGTCCCAATTTCAGAAAAGGCCAAGGATCTGATCCTCAGGTTTAGCTCGCTCACTGCTTATCATTCTCCCTCTCCTCTTTATTTTTGCTGTGATTCTTTGCCTTTATTTTGTACTCTATCTTAGCTGTAGCTCTTCATTCAACCCAGTGCATTTTGCTTTTATTAACCATACTGCTAACCTACATTTTGAGACATGGTTAATTTTAAGCAGTCTCTTTTTCTTCACTGTTCACCTTATGTTTTGTTTACCACCAGGTTCTGTTGTGAGAGCGAGTACAGGATTGGAGCTGTTGGAGTGGAGGAGATCAAGACTAACCCTTTCTTTGAGGGAGTGTACTATGACCATATCAGGTATGCTGTCATCGCATGTAGACAAACACAGATTAAACTGGTATTGAGTAATGAAATCATCATACTATTCATGTATAGTGTCTTTTGCATAATATGTCTTCTAGCTTTGTTTTTGAGCTTTGAATGAAAACATATATTGTGCAGTATATCTTGCCTATGTTGCCTTCCAGTTTGTATAAAAAGTAGTATGTGAAATGCAGTGGTGGAGGTAACGAACTACTCACGTTACTGTAATTAAGTAGTTTTTTCGGGTACTTGTACTTGTTTGAGTATATTTTTAAAGCTGTACTTTTACTTGTACTTAAGTACAAATTAAGCAAAATAATCTACTCCGCTACTTTTAAATCATAGTTCGTTACTGAGTACGCCCACAATTTGAACTGATATTCAAACCTTTGACGGCATTTCAGTAGCCAATAAAGATATCCGATCGTAAAGGGACCAATAAATGCCCTGATATCTGAACCGGGAAAAGCCGCTGTTGCAGCAGGGTTGAAGAGCTAATCAGACAGTGAGGGAGCTCAGCGTAATTTATGGACTCAAAGTTTGGAGAAACAAACTACATGGTAGTGTTATCATAAATGCCTATTTTTTGATACCGATACTGAAATATCTGACATGGTTCCTTTACTCATTTTCCACAGTATCTACCGTATAGCCCACACCGATACAATCTGCGTCGCTCTTTCCTCTCCGACAGTGAGTTTGACACGCATCCGCCTCCTGTCAATTACAGAGTCTGAATGTCCGCGCGGGATTGCAGGTATTCCGCATAATTGTAATCATTCCCGCGCAAATGTGGCGAGCGCTTTATTGTAACATGAGAACACAGTCGTTATCACAGAAAACTGGATGCGAGCTCTCAAATAGGCCTAACTTATACAAATGAA